CCAATCAGATTTCCAGTGCAACCAGCTTGAATCAATCTTTCTGTTCCTCTTATGAATAGACAGTTCCTCCAGGCAGTGAATTAGCCCTTTAGAAAACATTGGCATTATGTTTCTGAACCCTGAGTGTCTGTATAGGTGGTCTGGAATGCATTAAAGAGAAGCATTGTGTCAGAAACTCAAGTCTAAAGATGAAATCCTGTTCTTTCTAATTGTAAGTTATTTTTGTTCTTGCTGGTGCTGCTGTTTTTTCTGAGTTACAGAATCTTAAAAATTATTATTTGCTTTAGGGAAAGTTGGAAATGGATTTCCAGTATATAGGTGGTTCTTGTTTTATGTTATACAAATGTGTCAAGAGAGTTTTCTCTTTAAAGGAGTCCTATGGTGAATCCTCTTTGATTATAGAGTATCACTGTGTTTTCTCCTTTTGTAAGTGTGGACTTTGTATTTCTTTCAGTGACGGAAATATTGAGATGTTTTGTTTCTAGTTCAGGCTACGATATTTAGCAGTACTTCATTTTTGCTGATGAACTAGTAATAGTCTCCCATATATTAATACCTTGTGTGTTTTACTTGGGTTCTCTACTGCAAGAAAACAGGTTTTTGTTTAGGTCACTAGTTCTCAAAAGTGTGATGCCCCCAACCAGGAGCATCAGCATCACATCACCTGGGAGTGTGTTAAAAATGCAAATTACTAGGCTCTACCCCAGACCTCTACTATTCAAAAACTGGGAGGTGGAGCCCAGCAACCTATATTTAACAAGCTCTTCGGGTGCTTCTGCTATGTTCTGAAGTTTAGAACTACTGGTTTAGGTAATATCTACAGAGTGGCTTAAAATCTCAGCTCTTAGTCATCTGAGTTCTGGATTTGGTTTAATTCCAAGGTGTGTGTTAGGAACTATAGCAATGTTGCTTCTAAGAGATGTGTAGATGAAAAACTGATAGCAGGGGCTGCCTCACAAGAGCTGCTGCCATTGTTCCCAGGAGTTAAGATTTTAAGAACTAAACAGAGCCAAGAATCCTTCACTATTGAGTTGAACCAAATTGTTTCAGTACCTAGGATGATTGGCAGAAGCTTCTCATTTAATAACATCATTTAGATTGTGCTTCCCTCCATTACCAAGATACTTAAAATGACAAATCATGAAATCACATTTAAATTACATAAGATTATTTTCAGAGTTAAGGAATTCCTAAATTAGCTCTCTTTCAAATGCTTTTAAGTTGTAAATAACTACAAGCAGACATACAATACCTTGGAGATACTTCATTAATATAATTAAGATATATGTTCATTAATTATTGGATTATTTTTATGTAATTCTTCATTTTGAGGGTAACATCTGCCTGTCTGGTTATTTTTAAAACATTTTTAATAGGAAAATGTTACGCTAATAAGTATGTGTATTTTTTCTTTGGAAAATTTTCTACTCCTGAATTTAGATGTTACATACATTTATTAATTATTTCAGGTGGGTTTGTCAGGGTGGAATACTAACCTTTTAAACAAGGTGTTATTTTATAAATGAGAGCCTTTGTTTTAAAGAACTAGATCCCCTTGCTAAATTTAGGGCTTTATAGCTTACTTTGGCTCTTAAATCTACAGCAGATTTTTGTTTTTTCAACTTCGGAAGATACTCTCAAGAAGAGGTATAACTGGTTTGGTGTGGTGTCTTCTTGGCATCACAGATGGATCTTGTTCGTGCTCTGGGTTAGAATCAGGAACTAGAGAATCATTAAAGGAAAACCTACCTTTATGTATATTGAGAAGTGGAAGGTTTTTTAAAGTCAGGGTAAATCTACCAACTTTCTGAAGGTACTGTTTGTGGTTTTTAAGCGAAAACGGGTATCTAAATATTATTCACCCTCTACATATAATAAGGCCATATTCTGAAAGGTTAGTTTCTTAGAATCAGACAAAAGAAATTACTCATCCAATCATTAATGATTTTCTAAATGTTTCTAACTCAAGAATGAGGGAGGAGTTGAATATATTTTAAGAAACCCCTTACCCAATCAAGTGAGTCTGAAATTTCTAAAAAGACGTGGTGGAGAATTTAGTATTGGGAATTTCCTGTGATTATTTAGTCTGGGGCCCAAGTAAGATTAATACAATTAAGACAAGAAGCAATGTTATGAAATTAACAATCCTTTTTGGTGTGGGCTCAACCACGTACTAATGAATATTCTATTATCTGAGGTCTCCTTTTGCTGGTATTATTTAATCCATTTCCAATACAACTTACTACTTTCTAAGCTTAGTAAAATACTTAAAATGATCACTTTTAAGGTATGTAAAACATGAATAAAATCAACAGCTGGCTAGTAGATTTTTTTCTTTCTGAGAATTTAATATGCAATTCCTTATAAAGTACCTTATTTAAGAATAATCAGTGGTGCATTCATTTTTGACTGTGCTAGTGAAACAGGTCCCAATACCACCAGTCTATAAGAAACAGTCTAGGTGTTTCAAAGAGACTTAAGTCAGAGGTGAAAAGAAATTTAAAGAGAGAATTTATATAAAACAGGTATTTTTGAATTTTCGAATTAAAAATTTAAATAATACACTTCACGTTATTTGTGATGAAGGTGGGAAAACCTGATATATGAAGATTGTAGAAAAGGTTGAAAGCATATTACTCTTTTTTTTATATAGGATAGGAAGAAATACTTTTTTTTTAATTGAAGTAGAGTCAGTTGCAATGTATCAATTTCTGGTGTACAGCACAATGTCCCAGTCATGCATATAATATATATTCTTTCTCGTTAAAGACTATTACAAGATACTGAATATAGTTCCCTGTGCTGTACAAAAGAAACTTTTTTAAAATCTATTTTTATATATAGTAGCTAATATTTGCAAACCTCAAACTCCCAAATTTATCCCTTCCCACCCCCTTTCCCTCATAACCATAAGATTGTTTACCATGTCTGCAAGTCAGTGAGTTCATAGTGTCCTTTTTTTTCTTTCTTTTTTTTTTAGATTCCACATATGATTGATATCATATGGTATTTTTTTTTCTCTTTCTGGCTCCGCTTAGAATGATGATCTCTAGTTCCATCCATGTTGCTGCAAATGACATTATTTTATTTTTTATGGCTGAGTAGTATTCCATTCTATAACTATACCACAACTTCTTTATCCAGTCATCTGTCAATGGACATTTGGGCCACTTCCATGTCTTGGCTATTGTATATAGTGCTGCTGTGAATATTGGGGTGTGTGTATCTTTTTGAAGTAGAATTCTCTCCAGATGTGTATCCAGGAGTGGGATTGCTGGATCATATGGTAAGTCTGTTTTTTGTCTTTTGAGGAATCTCCATACTATTTTCCATAATGGCTGTACCAAGCTACATTCCCCTCAGCAGTGTAGGAAGATTCCCTTTTCTACACACCCTCTCCAGCATTTATCGTTCATGGACTTTTGAATGATGGCCATTCTGACTCATGTGAGGTGATATTAAACTTTTTTTTTTTCAGTCTGCCCTAATGATTTATGGTAGTTGGTTTTCTCCAATTTAGAGAAATTAGTTCCCAGTGTAGTCTTTTGACTTTTTTGTTACATGGACTTGGGCTGAAGACGAATCTCATTCTGTCTTCTTGACTCGTAAACTTTATGTTAAGCAAATTTATCTTAGCAAGACATTTTATTTGTTTTAATTCTCTAGTTATCTGAGGGAAACCAAAAGCATGCAAACCTACAGAAAAGCATCGAGAAAGCTAAAATTGGCCGACATGAAACGGTAAGTTTGTATCTGTAGGTTCTTTAATCATGTCGATTCTAAATAGAAGAGTAAAGGCATAGAGCTTCCTGTGGGGAGGATGCTGCTTCTCCCAGAAGAGAAGTGAAGCTCAGCAAAGTATGTGAACATCTCACCTGGTAGTTCACTAGTGGTGAATCTAGATTTGTCATTATTGCTGTG